CTTTTCTTTACAAAGGATATATATTAGCCCTGAGACAAAAAATGAGAGAGAGAAGGGGGGGGGGGGTAAAAGAGAGAGAGAGGGGGTGAGAGAGAGGGGGGAGAGAGAAGAGAGAGATACTCTGTGTGTGTGTGAGAGAGAGAGAGAGAGAGAGAGAGAGAGAGAGAGAGAGAGAGAGAGAGAGAGAGAGAAAGAGGAAGAGAGAGAGAGAGAGAGAGAGAGAGAGAGAAGGAAAGAACGAGAAAGGGGGATGTCTGATATGGACTGTCTATGAACTTTATGTTTTGATCCCCATGTTGACAAGTCGTGAAACACAGTGTATTAAACACCCACATAAACACCCCCCCCCCCAAAAAAAAAACCCTGTTGTCTTGCCGAGAAACAGACACGGGAGAGTAAATCTTACTATAAGATCCTGCTGAAAGGATTATCGCTATCAAAATAAAGCCTACCACAAAGTATTGAATTTGACACAAAGATTGCACGATTCAAGGGGAGTGCCATTACTAGCTTTCATGAGTTGAGGTGAAAGTAAAGGACAACATTGTCTTAGGTCTAGAAAGCATAGGTAAAAGGACTTCACTTAAGATAGTGAAGGCCTTCACACAAGAACATTATAGAGCTAAAGAGAGTCAAAATCAGCTTTAACTGATTGCTTACAATGGTGCCTTTGTCTATGAATTATTGAGCTCCCCCCCCCCCCAAAAAAAAAAAAGAAAGAAAAAATCCCTAATGGTTTTAACTATTGAAATGGTAATAATAGTTACTGTATCCTTTGTCTTTTTTAAATGGGATAAACATTTACAAACTGTTTTGTTGCGTAAATACTACAGTCTTAATTGTTAGTTTGGGTCGTTGGATTCCTCAGTCTATTAATGATAATAAAGCGTTATCTCGCCCATTTCTCCTCTCCTTTACCTGTCAAGTATTATCTTATCTAATCTTCCTAATGATAATAAAGCGTTAACTCACTCCTTGCCCCCCTCCCCCCACCCCCCACCCTCCCCTTTACCTGTCAAGTATTTATTGCTTTTCTTAATCTCCCACCAAAATCACCGCTCATATTCAGGTCATAACCCATCATTGTGTTGTAAACCCACCAATTAAAATTCGAAGAATGAAAGGCTGGCTCAACATTACACAACATTCCTCTGTCCCAGAGTACAGGCTCAAAATCTGTCTAGCAAATTCGGACGCACGTCCGGACAGAGGGTCAGGGAAACAAAAGCACCGATGAAATCCCAGTTCGATGTGATCCTAGACGGTCTTATGATCGCCTAGATGTGATCCCATCAGATGCGGCCCTGCCTACCGAATCACGCCTTGCTGTAGTTCGATGTTCGGGGAAATCAAAGGTGTCAAAGAGTTCACACCTGCAGGCGAACATTGTATCACTCGTCGAGAAAGTTAGAGCGGAGATGTCATCATGATGTATGCGTGTGGATCATCCATGGAGGTTTTTTTGTGCAGTAAAATAGGATATAAGAAGCGGCATAAAGTGTTATTTTTCTTTTTTTCTGTTTTTGTTTTTTGTTTTGTTTTTGTTGTTTTTTTTTTTTTTAGGGGAGAGGGGGGGGGTTTGTTGTTGTTGTTGTTGTTGTTTTGTTGGGTTTTTTTTAGGGGGGGGGTCTTTTTTTCCTCTTTAAACAACGGAATCTTAAGTGAACCGGGATCATACACGATGTGATCTCAGGTGGAGACTACTATGATAGATTAAACCGGGTACAGATAGGCCTATATAAAGGAGACTCAAACTCTTTCCACCCAGCCCCCCCCCCCCCCCCCTCCTTCTTCATCTTTCTTCAACAGAGAAGTTATTCGCTGTTGTTGTTAAGCAAGTACTGGATTTAAAAAAAAATATGGAGCCGCAAGTTCATCTATATTTTGATATCAGTAGTAGTAATGAGATAAATGGGTTTTAAAGCTTAGAATAAGTCTACTAACTTTCTTAATCTCAAGGACATCAAAATAAAACACATGAAGCTACAGCGAGCATGTAGCACATCTCTGTGATTGGCCAAAATATAGATTACTTATTTCAGCCATCTATTTTTGGCGTCTCTCGGGGTTTCCCTCGCCTCTTAACCAGATTTCGCCGTGGGCCGTTCTCTCTCTCTCTCTCTC